TTGAGTGCCATTGAATTGGTCCCAACTCATAGAGACCCTATATAGGGTTTCTGACGAGCAGCTGGTGGGTTTGAACTGCTGACATTGTGGTTTGCAGTCCAGCGTTGAAACTATAGCACCAGGAGGAGTAAGTGGTAGGTTTTAACTGCTGACCTTGCAGTTAACAGTCCAGTGCTTATCCCACAACATCACGCCTGGACTCCTACCAGATTACCAACTTTTATTTTTACCAACCTTTTGAAAACAGATCTTTTCTACCTTTCTACAGATTGGATGTAGGATAAGCACTGGACTGCTGACCACAAGTCAGTGGTTCAGACTTACCAACCACTCCTAAGAAACCCTAAACAGGGTCGCTATGAGTCTGAACTGACTGTACGGCACTTAACAACAAGAAGTTGGGTTGGATGGTCAATTTTGTAATCTTATTCTAGTTCTGTGGTTTTTAAATTAGGGCAATTGTGACTCCCAAGGAACTTTTGACAACCATGGAGGCACTGGTTGTCATAACCTGGAGGTGTGCTGTTGGTGCCAAATTAATAGGAGCTAGGGATGATGCTAAACGTCTTATAAATCACAGTAGTGTCTCCTTGCAAAGAATTGCTGTTGTTGGTCCCTACTCATGGTGGTGGTGGTGATATTCCATGGAGTTGATTCTGACTCATAGTGACCCTGTACAGGGTTTCTGAGGCTGTAATCTTTATGAGAGCAGAAAACCTCATCTTTCTCCTGCTGTAGAACAGCTCGTAATTTTGAACGGCTGACTTTGAGGTTAACAGCCCAATTTGTAACTACTATGCTACCAGCCACCCTGTATAGGGTTTCTGAGGAATAGCTGGTGAGTTTGAATGCCGACCTTGCAGTTCAAACCAACTTTGCAGTCCAGTGCATTAACCCACAGTGCCACACCAGGACCCCTTGCAAAGAATTATGCAGCTCCAAATGGTCACAGTGCCAAAATTTAGCAATCCTGATAATTTCATAATTCACTAAAAAAGATGTTAAATATATGAAGAGCAAAAGACTGTCTGTTGTTTGTTTTATAAAGAAGACATCTTTTACTGACAAAAATTACAAATAATGACTTTAAACCACAACTGTGTTGTCCAACCTGGACAATAAATTTAAGCGACTTGTTTTTCTGGCATGTTGAAGATCTGCTGATCAACCAAACCAGGAGGACATTGAGTTGGGGAAAATACAAGATAAAATGAATGTGAACATGACAAAAGAATTTAGTTCCAAAAGTTGTCCCTTCTCTAGAAGAACAACTGACCAGCAAACAAGAGAAATAAAAGCAGAGTTAATGGTAATCACAATTTCCCACTGAATTGTTTTTGTTCTTAAGTGCCATTGAGTCGGTTCCAACTCACAGCAAACTTGTACCTGGTTTCCAAAGAGCAGTTGGTGATTTTGAACCACTGACCTTGTAGTTCAAACCAACTTTGTGGTCCAGCGCATTACCCTGCTGTGCTACACCAGGACTCCCACTGATTTGTTGTTGCTGTTGTTGTTAGGTGCCATCGAGTCAGTACCAACTCATAGCGACCTTATGCAAAGCAGAACAAAACACTGCCTGATCCTGGGTCAACCTCACTACTGTTGCCATGCTTGAACCCATCGATGCTGCCACCTGGCCAATCCATCTCATTGGGGGTCTTCCTCTT